TGTACACCTTGTCCAGAGTGTACAGGGTGTACACCTTGTCCAGAGTGTACAGGGTGTACACCTTGTCCAGAGTGTACAGGGTGTACACCTTGTCCAGAGTGTACAGGGTGTACACCTTGTCCAGAGTGTACAGGGTGTACACCTTGTCCAGAGTGTACAGGGTGTACACCTTGTCCAGAGTGTACAGGGTGTACACCTTGTCCAGAGTGTACAGGGTGTACACCTTGTCCAGAGTGTACAGGGTGTACACCTTGTCCAGAGTGTACAGGGTGTACACCTTGTCCAGAGTGTACAGGGTGTACACCTTGTCCAGAGTGTACAGGGTGTACACCTTGTCCAGAGTGTACAGGGTGTACACCTTGTCCAGAGTGTACAGGGTGTACACCTTGTCCAGAGTGTACAGGGTGTACACCTTGTCCAGAGTGTACAGGGTGTACACCTTGTCCAGAGTGTACAGGGTGTACACCTTGTCCAGAGTGTACAGGGTGTACACCTTGTCCAGAGTGTACAGGGTGTACACCTTGTCCAGAGTGTACAGGGTGTACACCTTGTCCAGAGTGTACAGGGTGTACACCTTGTCCAGAGTGTACAGGGTGTACACCTTGTCCAGAGTGTACAGGGTGTACACCTTGTCCAGAGTGTACAGGGTGTACACCTTGTCCAGAGTGTACAGGGTGTACACCTTGTCCAGAGTGTACAGGGGGTACACCTTGTCCAGAGTGTACAGGGTGTACACCTTGTCCAGAGTGTACAGGGGGTACACCTTGTCCAGAGTGTACAGGGTGTACACCTTGTCCAGAGTGTACAGGGTGTACACCTTGTCCAGAGTGTACAGGGTGTACACCTTGTCCAGAGTGTACAGGGTGTACACCTTGTCCAGAGTGTACAGGGTGTACACCTTGTCCAGAGTGTACAGGGTGTACACCTTGTCCAGAGTGTACAGGGTGTACACCTTGTCCAGAGTGTACAGGGTGTACACCTTGTCCAGAGTGTACAGGGTGTACACCTTGTCCAGAGTGTACAGGGTGTACACCTTGTCCAGAGTGTACAGGGTGTACACCTTGTCCAGAGTGTACAGGGTGTACACCTTGTCCAGAGTGTACAGGGTGTACACCTTGTCCAGAGTGTACAGGGGGTACACCTTGTCCAGAGTGTACAGGGGGTACACCTTGTCCAGAGTGTACAGGGTGTACACCTTGTCCAGAGTGTACAGGGTGTACACCTTGTCCAGAGTGTACAGGGTGTACACCTTGTCCAGAGTGTACAGGGGGTACACCTTGTCCAGAGTGTACAGGGGGTACACCTTGTCCAGAGTGTACAGGGTGTACACCTTGTCCAGAGTGTACAGGGTGTACACCTTGTCCAGAGTGTACAGGGTGTACACCTTGTCCAGAGTGTACAGGGTGTACACCTTGTCCAGAGTGTACAGGGTGTACACCTTGTCCAGAGTGTACAGGGTGTACACCTTGTCCAGAGTGTACAGGGTGTACACCTTGTCCAGAGTGTACAGGGTGTACACCTTGTCCAGAGTGTACAGGGTGTACACCTTGTCCCGAGTGTACAGGGTGTACACCTTGTCCAGAGTGTACAGGGTGTACACCTTGTCCAGAGTGTACAGGGTGTACACCTTGTCCAGAGTGTACAGGGTGTACACCTTGTCCAGAGTGTACAGGGTGTACACCTTGTCCAGAGTGTACAGGGTGTACACCTTGTCCAGAGTGTACAGGGGGTACACCTTGTCCAGAGTGTACAGGGGGTACACCTTGTCCAGAGTGTACAGGGTGTACACCTTGTCCAGAGTGTACAGGGTGTACACCTTGTCCAGAGTGTACAGGGTGTACACCTTGTCCAGAGTGTACAGGGTGTACACCTTGTCCAGAGTGTACAGGGTGTACACCTTGTCCAGAGTGTACAGGGGGTACACCTTGTCCAGAGTGTACAGGGTGTACACCTTGTCCAGAATGTACAGAGTGAACGTCACGTTATTAACAAGCCGGCTTTTCTTGTCGCTATATTAACGCCACCTTTGTCCCTTGGATCTTCTCATTCTCTTATCGTTCATTGCAAAGTGTTCCTTCACATCCTGTGAACTCCGACAGGTGTGTGTGTTTGCAGGCGATGAGTCACAATAATGTGGCTGAAGTATGTAGACCAGACCACACACTAGAAGGTGAAGGGACGACGACGTTTCGGTCCGTCCTGGACTATTCTCAAGTCGATTTTCTAAAGAGAATGGTCCAGGACGGACCGAAACGTCGTCGTCCCTGCATCTTCTAGCGTGTGGTCTGGTCAACGTGTGTGTATTTACTATTTGTAGCTGCAGAATTGAGGTATTAGATCTTGGACCCCGCCTTTCTACCCAATTTAGTTTTCCTCTATGTCTACTACATGTTTCTCTTACACACGCGCGCACACATCCCCAGGAAGCAGTCCGTAGCAGCTGTGTAACTCCCAGGTACCTATTTACTGCTAGGTGAACAGGGAGCACCATGGTGAAAGAAACTGCCCATTTGTTTCGGTCTCTGCCGGGGATGGAACACGGGGCTTTATAACTACGACGCCAGAGCGCTGTCCACTCAGCCGTGAGGCCCCAGAAGTGTGTGTATGTGTGTGTGCTCACCTATTTGTGCCGGCAGGGTCGAACGTTGGCTCTTGGATCCCGCCTTTCTAGCCTTCGGTTGTTTAAAGCAATGACTCCTGCCCTTCTTCTCTACCATACCTAGTTTTAAAGCTATGACTGGTGTCTGCTTCCACAATGTGCTCCTTAAGTTCATTCCAATTTCCCAACAACTCTCACGCTAAAAGAAAACTTTCTAACATCTGTGACTCATTTGAGTTTCCAGTTTCCACACATGTCCTCTGTTCTGCTGGTATTCCGTGTGAACATTTCGTCTATTTCCACTGTGTCAATCCCCCTGAGTATTTTGTATGCTGCTGTCATAACTGCCCGCTTCCTCCTTTTTTCTAACCTCGTCAGGTTCAATTCCTTCAGTCGCTCTTTATATCCCATTCCAGGCAATGATGGGACAAGCCTCGTCGCATTTGTTTTTGCCTTTTCCTGTTTCCTAATGTGGTTCTTTAGGTGGAGGCTCCATGCTGGGGCTGCATACTCTTAACACTGGTCTCGCGTACGCAGTGTAAAGCGCTCTCAATGCCTTCTTACTTAGGTTTCTGAATGACGTTCTAACTTTTGCTAGCGTTGAGTACGCTGCTGTCGCTATCCGATTTATATGTATCTCAGGAGTTAGATTAGGCGTTACGTCCACTCCCAGATACCTTTCTCGAATCGTCACAGGAAGGTAGTTTCCCTTCATTGTGTACTTTGTTTCACTGAACCTTGTTTCAGTTCTTTATTCTAAATGTTGGTTAGTAAAAATAAACAAGATAAACAATATTGATTTGTAATTATAATACAATTTGTAATTTGTGATGTAATTTGACTTACACGCGAATAATGAATATGAGTTTTTATTGTAAGTTGTAATTGTTGTTATAGATTCAGCTACTCGGAACAAGTTCCAAGTAGCACGAGCTATGGTGAGCCCGTAGTGGACTTACCTGGCACAGGAGCGGGGCAAGTAGCACGGGCTATGGTGAGCCCGTAGTGGACTTACCTGGCACAGGAGCGGGGCAAGTAGCACGGGCTATGGTGAGCCCGTCGTGGACTTACCTGGCACAGGAGCGGGGCAAGTAGCACGGGCTATGGTGAGCCCGTAGTGGACTTACCTGGCACAGGAGCGGGGCAAGTAGCACGGGCTATGGTGAGCCTGTAGTGGACTTAAGTGGCACAGGAGCGGGGCAAGTAGCACGGGCTATGGTGAGCCCGTAGCTTACCTGGCACAGGAGCGGGGCTGTGTCTTATTGTAAGAATTGCCGCCTGTTATAAAATGTTTGAGAAATGTTATAAAAAGAGGCGCGCAGGGTGCATGTACCGTGCTGGCTACCGGTGGACGGATATGGGTTGGAGGAGCAGTGAATACGTAGCGTTTGGCCACGGAGGTCAGTGTCCTGGTCTTAATTATGGCCACGGAAGTACGTGTAGCAGCTGCCATGGTCACCACGGTGTTACGTGCCGGAGCAGCTGCCATGGTCACCACGGTGTTACGTGCCGGAGCAGCTGCCATGGTCACCACGGTGTTACGTGCCGGAGCAGCTGCCATGGTCACCACGGTGTTACGTGCCGGAGCAGCTGCCATGGTCACTATGGTGTTACGTGCCGGAGCAGCTGCCATGGTCACTATGGTGTTACGTGCCGGAGCAGCTGCCATGGTCACTACGGTGTTACGTGCCGGAGCAGCTGCCATGGTCACCACGGTGTTACGTGCCGGAGCAGCGAGCTAGTGGTGACACGGCATCTTGTTGTTGTTTTAGCCTCAGCTACCTGGAAGAAAAAGTTGCAAGTAGCACTTTTGATGAGCCCTACCTGGCACAGGAGCGGGGCTAGTAGCACGGGCTATGGTGAGCCCGTAGTGGAGGAGTAGATATATAGGGCCTTCCTGCCCCGGGCCAGACCTGACGCCCAAGTGGCCCCACACTTCCCTCCAACACCGCCAAGATAACACTAGTGACACACTCAACAAAGCATACTACAGGGGTATGCTTGCATGTGGTGATAATATTGCCTCCGGGTTCATATTCCAGATTTTTCAGTGGCGCATACCCGCTGGTTACCTGGATCGGGGGTCGGCGATTTAGTGTTTTCCTTGTGATTCTTCATGGTGGGGGTCGAAGCCTCATCAGCTGCCAAATGTCGGAAGAAAGCTGGAGTTTATCCTCGGGATTCTCAAAGTGCCAACTGATAATCAAGTGTTTACGACTGGTAGTGTTGTGATTAAGTTGTATATTGGTTGGTTATGAAAGGGGGGGGGGAAGTGTGGGTGAAGAGAGAGTGGGTGAAGAGAGAGAGAGAGAGTGAGTAGAGTGATGAGTTGAGTCAACAGGTGGAGGAGAGTGTGGCTCACCTGGCTCCTGCCCGGGCCCAGTCCTGACAGTGATGGCGGGCCCGGTCACCGCCAGTTGCCCGCCACCCGTCGTAGGGATAGCACGCACCCTCTCCGCTCCCGCCACCAGCCGCTCTCCTCGCTCCGCTCCACTTTTACTCCAACTTCTCTCCCGTGTTCCCTTGCCAAAGTGAAGTCCGAATCGTATACCCCTTTAATACGGCTCATTACCTGTGTGTCACGGTAAATTGATGGCATTAGGATTTAAAAGACCGTATCGTGGTATTACAAAAAAGTTGTGCAAGAGGAACTGGGCGAGTTTTTATGGCGGAGTCCACGTGACGTTGGCTCAGAAACACACCATTGTCCTGCGAACGTCTTCCTCATTTTAGGCGATAAGACGAGCTTGTGATAAGATAGTGAGAGGTGAGTGCGGGCCCGTCCAGGGAGCAGTGTGGTGGTGTCAGCGCTCTCCACCACCACCACCACTACCACAAGGTCAAGATCACCACCACCTGCCTGCCTCCGCCCCCACCACCATCGCCGCCGCCCCTCTCTCTCTCTCCCACACGGCCGCCCACGCCTCTCTCACCCCCACCCATCGCCCACCCCCAAAAATCGCGGGTCTACGGCACTTAGATTTTTACTGGAGGAAAGCCGAGTGAAAGGAAAAGTTGTTGACCCGGTAACCGTGTTGACCTGACCCACATATTACGCTGACCCATTCACCTATGGGCTGAGTAGTGCACCCGTGACCCCACGCCACCCACCCCGCCATTCATAGCGAGAGTGACCCCCCACCCCACCCCCATCTCACCCCTCTCCCCCCCCCCCCCCCTTGAACCTGAAGATGGCACTGGCACTTACGCAAGCAGCGACGCTTGACACTGGCGCGAGATGTACCTGTATTTGATGACCTTCGCTTGTATCGTACATTGACCCACGACGCGATCTTTTTTCTCTTGAGTTATCAGACTGTAGTGACTGGCGGGCTCCCTGCCGATCACTTGATAGTGACATTTCCTCCAAGTTCCACGTATGGCCAAGGTGCTGGCGACGACGGGTCGAAGCGGTGGAATGTTTGTGCTGGGTTCTGGCGTAGCGACACTCAACCTTTCGGCCATGGGGGACGAAAGTTGCTCTGAAGTATCGAGTTCTTCGCCTCTCACTAGCCCCGGGGCCCTGTCCCCCCCAGCCCTCGTTAGCGTCGGCATGAGCCCCCCGACCTCCCTCGCCTCCTCCGACATTGGCGAGGTCGACCTCGACTTCTGGGACCTCGATCTCAACTCTCATAGTCCCCCTCACGGCATGCTTGCGGCGGCCTCCACGACCACCTCCCTCCTCGCCAACCCTAGGAGCCTCACGGCGCTCTCAGACACCTCCTCGATTTCAGGTATGGGCTCTGTGACACACACACACCTGTTTCGGGTAATTGGTATCAGACAACTACTTATCACTAACGTGTAATTTCTAGGCATTTACATATGTGCTTCCAGAGAGAGACTGTCATTGTCATTCTGCCCCTGTAAAATAATATATTTTGATATTTAAGATGCACAGTCATGAAATTTACATGTATGTACAGTGTTGTAGGATACAGGTTCACACCTCTTTCAGTGTCCGGCAAGATTCGTCCAGTCTTGTGTGTGTTCTTGCATGACCGATTAACAACAACGCCACGACTCTTGCATATCGTGTAGGATACAGTTTGGCGGACATTGTATGCTTGCAAATGTAATTTGTCATGGCCCTTAGGCGACATGTCCTGTCAAGTATTGGGCATTATTCTTACATGCTTAACTGTAAGGTGTTAATCACGCATGTCATACTGGTCGCTGTGTCACGCGTACCCTGTCATTGTGACACTTGATGTATGTCTGTCACTGTGACACTCCATGTACGCCTGTGAGGTAATGAATCGCACTCTGCAAATGCCCAGTCACTCGCTGTAAGAAGTGTAAATGTGTACCTGTTCACTCCCTGTAGGTAGGGATCATGTGTACGTGATCCCTGTAAGTATAAGCCGTGCCGGGAGCTGTAGCCCAACACATGGATCAGGTACACACACACACACACACACACATTGTAGCCCAACAGTGTCCTCGGTAGTAGGGGCCATTTAGTGCCATTATTGTCATTTCACCAGTGCCTTCACCTCGACACTGTTACAGTGAGCAGCGTGCCAGCTTTCACTGTCAGGGACTTGTGTTTCTCCTTGACATATTCTGGTTTCTGGTCAGTCTGGTGTGAGGGGGGGGGGGTGCTGGAATATCCCTCCCCGCTCAGAGGGCACACTCATCAACATCCACACCATGCTCAGAGGGCACACTCATCAACATCCACACCATGCTCAGAGGGCACACTCATCAACATCCACCCCTCGCTCAGAGGGCACACTCATCAATATCCACACCCTGCTCAGAGGGCACACTCATCAACATCCACCCCTCGCTCAGAGGGCACACTCATCAACATCCACTCCCTGCTCAGAGGACCCACTCATCAACATCCACCCCTCGCTCAGAGGACCCACTCATCAACATCCACTCCTCGCTCAGAGGACCCACTCATCAACATCCACTCCTCGCTCAGAGGGCACACTCATCAACATCCACCCCTCGCTCAGAGGACCCACTCATCAACATCCACTCCTCGCTCAGAGGGCACACTCATCAACATCCACCCCCCGCTCAGAGGGCCCACTCATCAACATCCACTCCCAGCTCAGAGGGCACACTCATCAACATCCACTCCCAGCTCAGAGGGCCCACTCATCAACATCCACTCCCAGCTCAGAGGGCCCACTCATCAACATCCACCCCTCGCTCAGAGGGCCCACTCATCAACATCCACTCCCTGCTCAGAGGGCCCCATACTCTCCATCGTCCTCAACAATTACTTGTAACAACTTGTATCTTGTTTATTTACAAAGCTGTAAATACTTTAACAAATGACTTAATGTATAGCTTTTGTCTAGTGATTAGTTCTGCATTGTTGGGTTATGTTGTCCCAGGATGCCAGCAGCGCTTGTTAGCGATAAGAAGGCACTGTTTATCAGCCGTGTGGGGCCAGTAAGATAGGCAGACAGAATTTGGAGCAGAGGCCGTGATGCCGTGTGTGTGTGCTTTGTTAGCCTAGTGAATGTTGTGTGTGTGTGTGTCCTCGTCTATTTGTGCTGCAGGCTCGAGCTCTTGGACCCCGCTTTTCTAGCCGCTGGTTGTCTAATGCAATGATTCCTGATCTATTTCAATATCATTCCTGCTTTTAAAGTTATGGATTGAGTTTGCCTCTACTACCTGTTCCTTTAGATCATTCCATTTACTCATTACCCGCACGCTAAAGGAAATCTTTCTAACATCTCTGTGACACATCTCAGTCCCAAGCTTTCGTATGTGGCCCCCTTGTTCTATTGGTATTCATTGTAAACCTTTCAGTTTTTCCACCTTGTCAATTCCTCTTAGTATCTTATACGTGTGTATCATGGCCCTCCCCTCATCTTCCTCCTCCTTTCTAGCGTCGTCAGGTTTAGCTCCTTCAGTCTCTCTTCTTACCTCATATCACTCAACTCTGGGAGGAGTCTTGTTGCATATTTCTGCACCCTTTCGAGCTGCCTTATGTCCTTTTTTATAGATGGGGGCTCCACGATGGGGCGGCGTACTCTAAAGCTGGCCTCACATGGGCGGTATACAGTGATCTAAAAGCTTCCTTATTCAAATTCCTGAAGGATGTTCGGACTTTTGCTAGAGTATAGTATGCGGCTGACGATATTCTAGTTATATGAGCCTGTGGAGTTGGGTTGGTTATGTCCACTCCCAGGTATTTTTCTCTAGTCGTTATAAAGGTAGTTTCTATTCGTCGTTATAGGGAGGTAGTTTCCATGCCTTTCGATCTCCCGGCTCTTGATGTCATTTCCATCATCTTAAATTTGCTGGTGTTTAACTCTAGCAGCCATTTCCCAGACCAGCTTTTCAGCTTGTTCAAGTCATCCTGGAGAAGACGAGGAGTCACAATAACGTGGCTGAAGAAGGCATAATCGACTTGAGAATGGTCCAGGACGGACCGAAATGTCGTCGTCCCTTCTCCTTCTAGTGTGTGGTCTGGTCAACATCCTGGAGAATCTTACAATCCACATCTGTCTCAACCCTCCTCACGAGTTTCGCATCGTCTGCATTGTCGTACAAGACTCAACACCTGCAGTCAACATAAATGAGGAATAGTAAGAGTCCCAGCACAGGTCCTTGAGGCACCCCGCTTGTTACTCAACACCAGTCCGACTCCTCGCCCCCTCACTGTCACTCTTTGACACCTGTGTGTTAGGTAATTCCAAATCCATGTTAGTGGGTTTCCGCCTACTCCAGCCTGCCTCTCGAGTTAGCATAGTAACCTCCTGTGTAGTTCTGTATCAAAGGCTTTTTGGTAGTCCAGAAATCCACAATCCACCCAGCCTTTTGTGTCTTGCCTTATTTTCGGTACCTTGTCATAAAACTACAGGAGGTTCGACAGGCATGATTTCCCATCCCTAAAGCCGTGTTGTTGTTGTTTGCTTACAACCCAAGTTCTTTGTAGGTGTGCAACGAGTCTTTCATATATCTTGTAAGTTTTTAAAGGACCTTGCAAGGGATGCGTATAAGTGTCACTGGTGTGAGGTAAAGTACCTCTTTTCTATCTTCTTGTAGATTGGTATCACATTTGTCTTCTTCCGGCAGCTAGGTAATTTCTCCTTTTCTTAAGTGACTCATTAAAGATTAGTCACTTAAGGAAGTCTGAGTGCCCGTGGTGCTGCTTTTAACACGTGTGTGTGTGTGTGTGTGTGTGTGTGTGTGTGTGTGTGTGTGTGTGTGTGTGTGTGTGTGTGTGTGTGTGTGTGTGTGTGTGTGTGTGTGTGTGTGTGTGTGTGTGTGTGCAAAAGGCAGGCGCTTGTGAGGTGGCAGGTGTATATATAAGAGGCATTGTGAATGTGAGGCAGGTGTGTTAAGCAGATATGTGTGACAGATTCCTGACCCACTTGGAGCCCGGCGTCGAGTGATTGTGTAACTCCACCACCGCCAGTCAAGTCCATCCTCAACGTTCAAAGTCAAGGCTCCTCCGCCCACTCATGTTACACACACTCCGGCTGCTCTACTTAATACAGCTATGATTAACCTTTCGTAACAGTGTCTGTGCGTCCCGTGAGTGTCTGTGCACGTGTTAGTCTTGTGTCTATTAAAGCCATTCAATAAGCGAGAGTACTCGAGAGCTGAGCTAACACCTGCTGCGTCAGCGAGTGCCTGAGCTCAGCAGCAGGATATCTGGGTCAGCGGGTATGGTGGCAGCAATTAAGAGTGCAGGCGTGAGGTGTCTTGTCTCCTAGGCTGGGTATTAGTGGGGACGGGGGTACGGAGGTGGGTGGTGTCAGGATCCCGTCTCCTTGGCGATAAGGGAACACTGACCTAAATATACTGTATCAGTGGGGCACAGTGATAAGAGCGGTGTTGTGTCGCTTCCCGGGCGAGTGTGGGCTTCCCCTACCCCCATATTGAGCCCCGTTAGGCAAGCCTGGGGCTCAGTTACTGCCAGTGGTATAGTACTGGTCTTGCTTCCTTCTGGTGTGGCTGGCGTGTACTGTATCGTCGTGTTGACTGCTTCACCGGCGAGTTCGACTCCCTCCTGTTGCTTAGGTCATCCTGGGCTCCGTCTCGGCTGTGTACTATCGAGGTACCTTGCTATCTGATTCACCAAGAACATCTTATCATGCTGGTGATAATTATTATTGATGTTACTGGTGTTTCGGCTTTCGACCGAAGTTCGTGGATTGTTTTGTTCACTAGAGCCTGTGATTGGTTGATCCTGACGGGTATGGAGTTGGACTGGTCCCGGGTGTGAGTACTTGTGTACTCGCCTCTGTGTGCTTGCGTAGTTTACTTCAGTGACTCTGATATCTATTCTGTTGTGTTAGATTTAAAATTGGGTATTGAGTTAGGTTCAGCCGCGTCTTCGCCTGACCTTATTATTATTAACATCTTTATTGACAAAATTAATTACAATTTTGCCTAATCTGAGGATTTTGATAGTCTTATTAAATTGAGGTTAATGCTAGTATTCACTGTCACGCAGGACAGAGGGTCATACATAAGACAATAGGTCTAAACTGTAGGCTGAAGCACATATATATCACGGTTACAATCAATGTTTTAATGTGTGGATATGTGAAAACAACTTTCGATTGTGCACTGCCACACAAGGGCAGGGATGGGTTCATAAGTGATGCAGCTTAGAGTATAAATAGAAATTGTTCTTCATTCTTTAAAATGGACAAGCAAATTTTGGGTAAATTGTTAGGATGTCGTCCAGAACACCTGAGTCAATAAAATAGTTACACAGTTGGTGGTACAATAGGCCAGGAGGTCTAAAGTC